AAAATTAGAGCAATTGTTTGAAAATTAGAGAACCTAATGTAGATGTAACTATTTCATGAAGAGCTAAAACTGATTTTACCATAATTTAGTGAACCTGGTTTTGAACGTGGAAACCAATGAAGTGGTGAAACCGTATGACGATGGCCCCCACAGCAACGCGACAGTCGGCGACGATGGCCCCCACAGCAACGCGACAGTCGGCGACGATGGCCCCCACAGCAACGCGACAGTCGGCGACGATGGCCCCCACAGCAACGCGACAGTCGGCGACGATGGCCCCCACAGCAACGCGACAGTCGGCGACGATTAAATGTGTACTCCCAGTTTTGAAACCCTTTGGAGTTGAGTGGTGTTTCTGTCTGTCCCTGTAATGGTCTGGAGACCTGAGAGGCTTCAGCCTCACCCTTGACCCTGATTGGGAACAAGGGGGATTGTAATGGATGGATTACTCATAGCAATTATATTCAAAATTATATATCCTCTATTTGTTTGTTCAGTAGCTACTGTGTAAATGGTGCTAAATGGTAAATTAGCCAGAACAATTGATTTGAGGCTTGTAAAGCTGAGCAGCAAAATGCATTTGAGTAAAAAAAGGAAATGTAATAATTTTATTTATTTTAAAATACTTACCTGTTGGCCTCAGATTGTGATCCGAGTGAAGAACCTGGTCGTTAAGCAGGTTGAAGCTATTGCTGTTAGCTATGTAGCTAGTATATAGCTGATAGCTAACTACTAGCGAACTTGGTAATACCAGGGTTCGAACCTACTCCGTTAGTAACACGAACATGCGTGTCTTACGTGTTGTGCTACAGAAGAGGCTGCCACAATCGACAGGGTAAGGTGGAGAATTTATGTGTGACAGTCATGTCGCAGCTGTTTTTCAGTCACGTGGTTTCGAAGGCGGAGCGAATCGCTGTCCACTGTCTGGAGCGCAGGGCACGTGAACACGGCTCCACATAACACCGCCTGAAGCGATCACTGCATCACAGGTATGTTAGCTGCTAACTTGTTTTACACATGTTTATAATGATCCTTTATTTAGTAGTATTAATTTACTGGTGGTTTTATGTGGGCTTCATCTGGACTTTGTTTTAGCCTTCTGTGTAGTAAGGTGCTGGATCATGTTTGTTCACGTTAACAGGTGAGTTGCTGTAAATGTAGTTTTATTGGGAGCAGCACCCACAGAGACTCAAACTGCAGACGGAAAAAGAGGGACTATGTGAAACACACGGCTGATGATGACAGTCATTCTTTAGCCTTCAAGATAAGCGACAATGTTGGACAATGTTTGAAAGAAAGAGGTCCGATGGTCGACACAGGCGCCACATCCCACATCATCACCAGTATTGAGAAGTTCAGAAGCTTTGATGACACCTTCCTACTGGAAAAGCATTTCATGGAGCTGTCTGACGGAAAGTGAACAAGTGGCGTGGCACTGAAGAGAGGAGACGCAGTGGTCTGCCTGCGGGACATTGAGGGCCGTCATGTGACGACACTCTACATCCCTACATTCCCACAAGACATCTTCTCTGTCAAAGCTGCGATCACCAGCGGAGCCAACGTCCACTTCAAGGAGGGAATCAACCACAAGGACAGTACCAGGTTTGACATTAAAAAGTATGAGAGACTGTACTGTCTGAACACTGTAAGTGAGATGAGTGATGAGGATGAGTGTTGTTATGGGTGTTTTGATTTTCAAACATGGCATGAGATCCTTGGTCACTGTAATTATGATGTTTTAAAGTTAGAGAATGTAACCAAAGGAATGAACATCAAAGGTAAAACTGATAAATCTAAACTGTATTGTGAAACATGTGTACGAGGAAAGTTTATTCAGAGTAGAAACCGGGAGCCTGATATAAGAGCTAAAGAAGCATTGGAGCTTGTACACACAGATCTTGCTGGCCCTATAAGTCCAGAGGCCAAAGACGGGTTTAAGTATGCATCAGCCTTTACAGATGACTATTCAGGCACAATGTTTGTTTATTTCCTGACAACTAAAAATGACACTGTTAAAGCCACTGAAAAATTCATTGCTGATGTATCCCCTAATGGGAAAATTAAATGCTTAAGGTCAGATAATGGAAGAGTTCAGTGTTTCCCCTAGGAAATTGGTCTTGGCGGGGGGACGCCCCGCCTGTATAATGGTGGGGGGAAACACTGGAGTTTACATCTAGAGTTTCAATCATTGCTTAGCAAAAATGCCATAAAACATGAAACCTCAGCACCTTACTCACCCCGTCAAAATGGTACAGCCGAGAGGAGCTGGAGGACATTATTTGAAATGGMAAGATGTATGTTGCTAGAGAGTGACCTGCCAAAGAAGTTGTGGACTTATGCAGTGACGACAGCAGCTGTTTTTAGAAACAGGTGCTTCAACAAATGTGTGGGACAAACCCCGTACTTTATGCTAACAGGAAGAAAACCTGACCTGTCAAGAATGAAACTATTTGGATTGGTTTGTCATGCGTAAAAAACATGATAAGAAAAAGTTGGATTCTAGAAGTGATAAAGGTATTTTTGTTGGGTATGATTGAAACAGTCCAGCATATTTGCTTTATTATCCTGAAACTGGAAAAGTGCTGAAACATAGGCTCGTTAAAAGAAAAAAATTGTATAGGTCTTCTGGACGGGTTCTTCTCTAATGAAACGTTTCGTCTCTCCTCCAAGAGACTTCTTCAGTCTGGGAGTTTCAGGCAAAATTCAGGCTTTTAAGCACCTGCCTTCATGTGACTGATACTCACATCACATGGCTATCGTTGACACCTAATTAACACCTATTGTTAACAGGGGGTGGAGTGATACTGGCAATAGCAGCACTGTAGGAGGGGTTAACCAGAGGCTGGTTCACCCCAAAGATCCGGTGCCCCGGCACAAACAGAGCAATGTTGTATATGCTGTTAAGTGCCAGGAGGACTGCGACCAGTTATACATCGGGGAAACAAAGCAACCACTGTTCAAAAGAATGTCCCAACACAGACGAGCTACATCTAATGGCCAGAACTCTGCAGTTTTCACTCATTTACAGGCCAGCGGTCACTCTTTCAGAGATGAGGATGTTCTCATTCTTGATAGAGAGAAACGTTGGTTTGAGAGAGGAGTAAAAGAACCCATTTTTGTGAAGAAAGACTGTCCATCATTAAACAGAGGTGGAGGCCTCCGTTTTCAGCTGTCCCCCTCCTACAGCGCTGCCATTGGCAGTATCACTCCACCCCCTGTTAACAATAGGTGTTAATTAGGTGTCAACGATAGCCATGTGATGTGAGTATCAGTCACATGGAGGCAGGGCTTAAAAGCCTGAATTTTGCCTGAAACTCTCAGACTGAAGAAGTCTCTTGGAGGAGAGACGAAACGTTTCATTAGAGAAGAACCCGTCCAGAGGACCTATACAATTTTTTTCTTTTGATTTTTTACCTGGATTACTGAGATGCATCAGGACATAGGCTAGTTAAGTTTGTTACAAAGACTGTAGTTGAACATTCAACCCAAACAGACAGGATCTTTGTTGAAGATGATTCATATGGGAAGAGAGTGATGTTCTCCATATCAAGAGAAACAGTTACTGAACAAAGTCCTGAAGTGAAACCTGAAACAGAGACTGAAGCCTCAGGAACAGAAATCAACATCCAGGTTGGAGAAAGTCAGAGTCCACATTATCCTCAGAAGGAGAGAAGATGTCCTAAGTGCTTGCAGGATTATGAGTGTAAAGTGGAAGATGAAGAACTAACTATAGATGTTGATTACTGTTACAGAGTGATAAATAATGTTCCACAAACATTCAAGGAGGCCATCACTTCATCCAAGTCTGAAATRTGGGCAAAAGCTMTRCAGGAAGAAATAAAAYCATTAGAAGAAAACTCTGCATTTACATTAACTACTCTGCCTGAAGGTAAATCTACAGTGGGGGGCAGATGGGTTTATGCTATTAAAGAAAATGCAGCTAAAACAGAGACTTATAAAAGAAGATATGTTGCGAAGAGTTATAGTCAGTTGGCTGGAGTGGATTATAAAAAAACCTTTTCTCCAACTGCAAATATGACTTCTGTACGCACATTAATGCAGCTTGCAACGCAAGATGACTTGGAAGTGCATCAGATGGATGTAAAAACRGCATATCTGCATGCACCTATAGACTGTGAAGTTTACGTCAAGCAACCTGAAGGTTTTGAAATGAAGTCAGACACAGGAGAAAGGTTTGTGTGCAGGTTGAATAAATCATTATATGGATTRAAGCAGTCTGGAAGGAACTGGAACAAAATGTTAAATGATTGTCTTTGTGAAAATGGHTTCATTCAGAATGAAGCAGATCATTGTGTCTACAGCAAACAAACTGTTGGGTTGATGATTTAATTATTGCAACTAATGGGAAAGAAGTGCTTGTTGAAGTAAAGTAAATGTTAACAAAAAGGTTTAAGATGAAAGATCTTGGGAAACTTAAAACTTTTTTTAGGCATAGACAAGGAAAAGAGATCAAAATGAACCAAACAAGATTTATATTTAAGATCCTGGAAAGATTTGGTATGTCTGATTGTAAAGCAAGACAGACTCCATGTTAACAAAACGTACAATTTGATAATGAAGGTGAACTTGTTGATGCTAAACAATACAGTATGGTGAAATGGTTGGCAGTTTAATATATGTAATGACCTGTACAAGGCCAGACTTGTGTTGGATTGTCAGCAAACCTTCACAGTATTTGTCCAAACCCAGAGAACAACACTGGATAGCAGCTAAACATGTGCTAAGGTATTTAAAGGGAACTTTAAATCAGGAATTGTGTTACAGGAAAAGTAAAGGAAAGCTTGAACTTATAGCCTATATCAGGGTTATTCAGTTAACATTTAAATGGGTCCATTCAGAGAAAATGTCTTAAGACCTAGGTCCATAAGATTATAATGTCCTACTATTTAGAGTTATATATATTTAAGTAGCTTAGTAGTTGGATCAACATCTGCACAGATTGATTTGCATATAAAATGTAATTAATTCAGTCTAATTAAAATACTTTTTCAATATTTATTGTCACGTAACAAAAAGACGAACATGAAATTCTAAAGTCTGATGTTTTATGTTCTCTTACTGAGTAAAAGTATAATGAACCTGTCAAAATAAGAAGCTAAATACAGGACAACTGTACATGTTGATTTGGTGCATTTGTTCAAAACTTTGTTTAAAACTTTTATACTTTGTTACATAATGGCATTAAACATTGTCATTTTTAATAAGTGTTGCATTTCTGAACATGTGAGGCACACTGGTTTAGTTCCAGTGGCAAGTATAAAGAAAAATGACTTTGTCCGTCCTGGATTAAATGCTCTATTTTCGCTGTCCATTTTTTTCTTCTTTTTTTTTTGTATTTTTGTATNTTCAACTCTACCGCCATCTCATGGAAAACATTTAACATACACCTGCATCAATCCACCAGCTGGGAAACACCAAGGCTCAGTTACAGACAGCTTCTACAAGCATCTTCAAAATTAACACCTATTTAAAANGCTTTAGTTTCTTTCTCTGAAAGCAATTGCGAGATTCCTTGGCTTTGTGTTTGGGGTCATTGTCTTGCTGAAATGTCTAGCCATGTTTCATCTTCATCACTGTGGTGGAATACTTATTATATATCACCTTGACACTGTCCATTGTTCATATCTCATGATATCGTCTGGACGTCATCATCAAGCTGACCTACTTCATGTACCAGAACGAGGCGGTTCCTGATTGGTTGTTCATTATCACATAATGATAGCTGACAGTATAACTTTGTTTGCCCGGCATATGACAGCCGGGCCCACATCTTACAGACTTCGTGATTGTTCTCTGTTTCATGTCTGCCCATCAATAAATGACTTTATAATCATACCCGGCAGACTATTTGTCTCGTTAAACACTCTCGCCGTGTTTCTGACCATTCTTGCCGCGACAGTATTAAATTTTGTTATTGATAAGCTGTGCTCTCACACCTGTGATTGTAAATTGACCTGAGCATTTGTCAATAAAAGAAAGGGGTGGCGTCACTTACGGCACGTAGTCTCATGTTGGGTGTGCGCTGCTGCCGGTTCACACAAAAGAAAAGTTTGTRATGTTCCTCTGTCAAGAGTTGCCGAGTCATCAGTTGTCCTTTCTTTAATAATGGCAGCTTCAACAGGTTATGGCCCCAGGAAAGATTTTGGAAATCGCTGGCAACGGTTGTTATACGATGGAGATGAGAAGAACTATGAGCTGTGGGAGACAAAGATTTTGGGCCATCTGCAGCTGCTAGGTCTGAAGGACACCATATTGAATACAGCTGATGATGATGAGGATGAAAACGCTGCTTCAAAAAATGAGGAAGCATATGCTGAATTAATTCAGTTTCTTGATGACAAGAGTCTTTCCCTCATAATGAGAGATGCGCCAGATGATGGCAGAAAAGCCCTGAAAATACTGAGGGACCATGATGCAGGTAAAGGAAAACCTTGAGTGATAAGTTTGTATACTGAGGTAACGATGCTACAGAAGGCAGATCATGAGAGTGTTACAGACTTTATTATTCGTGCAGAGACTGGCATTACTGCTCTGAGAAATGCAGGAGAGACATTAAGTGATGGGCTGCTGATCGCAATGATTCTGAAAGGGTTGCCGGAATCATTCAAGCCATTTGCCATTCATATAACACAGGGTGATGACAAGATAACCTTCAGTGATTTCAAAACTAAGCTGAGAAGCTACYAGAGCACTGAAAAGTTTAATACCTGCCGTAATGATGACACTGTGATGAAAACTGATGATTCAGTCATAAGAAGGAGAAAAGACATTGTAAAAATAAAATGTTACACCTGCGGTCAGATTAGGCATAAAGCCAATGAATGTGACCCGCAGAGAGAGCAGCAGAAACAGTGGTGCACATTCTGTCGGAGCACCACCCACAGAGACTCAAACTGCAGACGGAAAAAGAGGGACTATATGAAACACGCAGCTGATGACGACAGTCATTCTTTCYCCTTCAAGATCAGTGACACTGTGGGACAATGTTTGAAAGAAGGAG